CATGTGTCGGGGAAACCCCATCCCCACCCCAAAGAGGCAAATCTGCAGGGGTCCAAGTGACAGTGGAGGGTCACTGAATCCATCCTATAGGGCCCAGCTCTAGAACCAGGGTGTGATTATCCTCAGGACACAGAAGAGGAAACTGAGGTGCAGAGGTTCTGAGCTGCCACGCTCACAAGCAGGTGGGGAGGCCAGGATTCACCCAGGTCCCTCTGACCTGGAGCTAGCAGGAGACACTGCCCCAGGCACACCCAGCGCTGAGAGTTCCAGCCCAGAGGAGGGGGATTAGCATGTTGGGAGATAGCTACGCTGTGCAGTTCACAACCCAAAGGCTGGTAACGGCTTCCCACTTTGCAGAGGAAGAAACAGAGGCCCACAGAGGTTCCAGAACTCGCCTAAGGTCCCAGGATTCCAATTTCCTGTGCTGATGACATTGACAGGCACGGTGCAGAAAGTCCCCATGGGTGGAAAACACAGATTATGAGCAACAGAGGATTTCCTTGCTAATCGTGCTGCGCCAAGGACGATATTAAACCAAGTTTGTGTCCTAGGAGCTCCAAGGCCAGGCCAAGGGTGAGGGGTCTGCTGGGGCCACCACAGCAGAGGGACGCCAGCCTGGCACAGAGAACAGAGGGAATGAAAACACAAGAGGAAGTGAGGAACGACTCCCGGTGCATGGAGACCTTTGACGCTCCCCCCCCCCCATCCCCATTTGATGGGTCTCTGGATCTCTGTGTGCCGTGTTGCTTCATGCAAGGAAACAGGAGAGCAGAACCAAGGCTCAGGTCTGGCTTCCCGAAAAGAGGTGCCACACCTTTGCCACACAGGTCCCGCCCCTGGAGGCCTCCCCACCCTCCCTGTGTCCACCTACAGGTCACCAGGGCCCCGCCAAGGACCAAGCTCTGGGGAGGCCGCCCACTGTTGGTGGAGCCTCCTGTAGGAGTCCCTCCCAGTCCAACACAGCCAGACTGTCCCAGCCCAGAGGGGCAGCAGGCACAGGGCAGCAGGCCCAGACTCTGACACAGGAGACCCAAGACTGATCCCAGGCCCCCCACTGAGTGCCACAGGACCCGCAGCAAGTCAGCACACCTCTCCAAGCCTCAGTTTCCCCATCTACAATATGAGACCAATGTGGGAGCTCTGAACAGAATGGAGTTGGGACTGGGAAGTTCTTTGTGGTAAACTGTGAAGTGCTGGGCACACCCTGGCCCTCCCCTGGGTCACCTGCCTGTGAGCTCCTCAGAGCCAGCCCTCGTTTTGTGCGTGACCCTGGGGCCCAGCACCTCAGTGCCCATGATGGATGGTCCAGGCCAGGCTGGGGAGGGAGCGGGGAAGGCTTATCTAACCCACCCCATTGTCTTCCCCGACCTTTGCTCCCTGGGCCTGGCTGGGTTTAGGAAAAGCCGCCTTAGCCGGTCCTGCCCAGGAGGCGCTGAGCTGGGAGGCCCCTCATAAAAGACCTATTCAGGGAACGCTCTGTCTTTTTTTAAAGGCCCAGACCACCCTCGCTCTATCCTCCCTGTAAACCAACAAAAATACAAGCAAGAGAACAAACTCATCTTATTTTGAGAAGCTCAAATTCTTAATCCAAACTTCTAAAAGTAAACAATGCCCCTACACAGGCTTGCTGGAGGCCCCGGTGTCCCTAGGTTAGCTGAAGGGGAGTGAACCAAGGTGCTGGTGGGAGGGGACATGCAGGGAGAGAGCTGGATGAAGGTGAGGCACCAAGGATGGGGGACAGATGGGGAGAAATTGTTGAAAATGCTTTTGTTTGAAAACTGCATCAGTTCACGGAGGCAAACCTGATTTTCTGGTGTTTGGGGTTCACTTGCCTCAGTTTGCCTCGCTGGATTAGAGCAAAGAGCACCCTAGTCCAGACTTCAGTCAGCCCAGCCCAGACCTCCATCAAAAACAGCGGGGAGAAAGGCCTATTTGCATATGCATTCACAGGCCCGCCAGGCCCAGCCCCAGCCCGGGACTGTCTTGAATACAGATGGGCCACCTCCCACCACAGCCATTTGGGGCCTTCCAGGGCACCCAGCAGGGCTACAGGTACTTCGTGGCTCCCAAGAGGACCACAGGGCCACTATTCCCCCACTCCTCGGCAGGTGCAGCCAGACACAGGCTTGGTCACAAACATTCAGGCGAGCTGTCTGTCTAAACAGCAGACAGAGTTGTGCAGAGAACACAGAAGTCTGTTTGGCAAGCCCCCAAAGGGGTCTCTATCATTTTTCAAGAGGAGTCTTGGAAGAAATACGAATGACAACGATTCTGACAACTGTTGAGACCTACTGCGTGCAGCTCCTGGCATCCCAGGACCTCACATGGACAAAGGGGGCACTATGGTTTTGCCCCACTTTACAGAAGAAGAGCAGAGAGGCTCAGCAAAGTTAAGTAACTTGCCAAGACAAGAAGAGTGGAGATTTGAAGGCAAGACAGACTGACCTCACCGGCTAATGGGGTTATCAGCCATCTGCTTAGTGGTCACCGATAAGGAAGTGACACTTCCCAGGATGGGAGAACGAGGGCAAACCTGGGTCAGGAACCAAGAATAGGGAGTTACCAGTTTCTGCTGATTAACAGTATCAGCCAAAATGACAACAGGCCAGAGATGCAAGCCAGCCCAGGGTATGAGCAGTAGGTGACCCAGGCAGCCCCACCCAGGCCACTGGAACTGAGACACTTCCAATCTCAGTTGTCTTCCCAGGCAACACTCAGAACTTCTCTGAGCCTCCACCTGCTTGTCTGTAAAATGGGGATAATACTATCTCCCAGGGTTCCTGTGAGGATGAGTTGAGATGAAATCCGTAAGGCACCAGCCGCTATCCCACTCCACTTTCTCCACCATCCGACTGAAGCTCATTATCTTTCTCATCTCCAGCTCACTCTTCACTCAACTTAAACTACAGGTCTGAGTACAGAAAAGTAGTTTCTAAGAGAAGGGCCTCTCCTTGTTTCTAGGTATCGTATTCATATTGTTGGAAGAACATCTCAAGGCCACGCACGACTTTAAGGGACAAACCTAAACAATAACAACCCCATCTGTAACTGAAATTTGTGATGATGACGCTGAATTTTTATTTCGCCCCAAAGCAAAGCTTTGCCACCACAAAATCTACAGCAGTCCTGTTCCAAGTGTGCGTGGGACTTGGAGGGGCATGGATTCTGTAAGAAACCCTACACCTCAACCCTCCCGCCCCGCAGTGGGGTGGAAACCCTCAGGTGGAGCCCAGTCCCCCAGTCCTGCACCACTCACTGCTGCAGATGAAACACTGGGCCAGACAGGGGCCACGTCTCCCGGTCCAAAACACGACAGAACTTCCTGCAGATTACGCTATGACACTCAAGCACTTCAGTGCCCTGCAGAGAATCACTCTGGCCAAGTGTCACTATGACACAGCTGAAAACCAGAACCCTTTCCTTTCCCAGGCCCAGGACTGCAGCAATCCCCTCCTCTGTGTTGTACTTGGGGAAACTGGGGCCCAGAAATCTGGCCCTCCCAAAGCCCCCAAGGAGGCAAGGCTGGAGAGGCTGGGACTGGGACCTCACTCCCCAGACCCTGAAACCCCAACAAATTAAACCACCTAACTTTTGAGCTACCCAGACTGGCCTTAAGGAGCCTGTGGTGGGAGGTGGGGTGGATACAGAGTAACAAAGAGAAACCAGAGTTGCAGCGGTAGATTGCTAATCAGTAACAAAATACCCCTCTCAGCCCAGTCCTGGCCTGAACTCACAAGCTGGGAGGGTATTAGGAAAAACTGTGCTGGCCTAGCATCCCACCTCCACCGGCCCAGTGCCCACCGCAGCCCCCACTCCAGGGCACCTGCAGAGGCCACTTGGCCACCAAACCAAAGACCCAGCGTCTCTCCCCTGCTCAGGCTGTCACCTGGGGAAGCACAGTCATTTAAGGCCTAGATACATTTTCTCTGAACGAGGAAAGGCTTTAAAAGAGCCAGAAAGGGCTGTTTAATCTCCACCTCCAGCAGCAATTGCCACCAGAACTGGGAGCCAAGCCACCAAAAATGTGGAAGAACAGGGAGGCAGGAGAGGAGCGGGGCAGTGGGGAGGAGAGGGACTGACTGAGGGCTGGGCAAGATAGCCGGCTGCTCTGCTCCACAGACCAAGCTGGGGGCCCTCTGCACTGGGCCCAACAGTTTCAGGCATGGAAGACAGTACCTGGGCTTTCCTAAGGTCAAAGGTCCTCCCAGTGACCACCGTGGCACTTCCTATAAGGTGACCAACAGTTTACAAATCCCTTCAGGGGCTTTATCTCCACCTCAAATCCCCAAGGCAGGAACCATCATTTCCATTCTACAGATAAGCAAACTGAGGCAGGCAGAGAAGAAAAGCCAAGATCCATTCCAAGCACATATCCCCCTGGAAAGTCCCCAAGCCTCGGTTGAGAAAGTTCCCTCCACCCTGAGCAGTGCAGGACTCATAGCAAACCAGGAAGCCTCTTAGCCCTGGTCCTCTGACCCAGCTGCCTCCCCTTCTCAACCCGGCTGCCTGTGCTCCTTCCCATCACTGCAGACAGGGCCGGGGAAGCCCAGGTGGCATTCCAGCCACGGCACACACTGGCCGCTGCTCAGATTTGGGGGCCGCCTGTTGCTCCAAATTACAGGGAAATTCTTGCGCTCAGAGGACCTTTCAAGTTTTTCCATGAAGAACTTCCCGCTCCCAGACAAGGATCTCCAAGGCTGGAATGAAGTGCCCCCAGCCAGCCCTGCGGTGCTGGACACTGATAATGACAACTCCGCAGAAGAGAAACTTTTCTGGGGTCTGGCAGGTCCCAGGCGGGCTGCAGATTAGGAGCTGGGCAGGGACACGCCTCCACCACTTGACCAGAAAAACACCACCCAAAGCCCCACTGTGGGTGGCCGCGGCATCTCCCTGCCCAGGGTTCCGATGCCAGCTGGAGAAGGGGTCTGGAGTGGCGGCCGCCCCCGGAGGAAGAGGCTGTGGCCCCGAGCCCCGCGCGGCCCGGCCCGTGCTGTCCTTACCGTGCAGGCCGTTGGGGATGCTTCGGTGGTGCGGCGGTGCCGACAGGTCGTCCAGGGACCTGCGCGTGGCTACAGCCTTGCCGTCGGGGGCCTTGTGCGGCCCGGGGGGCAGCAGCGGGGGCGGGACGTGGTGGTGGTGGTCCGGGCTGCCGCCGCTGCCCGCGCTCGACGTGCTGCTGCCGTCGCCCACG